TAAAGTCGCGCCGCTGCAAATCATTCGCGTACTCCTGCAGCAGAAGTCGTGTTTGTTGAATCTTATTTAAGTCACTGAATGTTTCAAGAAAATAGAAATACACTCCAGACCTCGCCCAAACACTGGCTTTGATGTGGTACAAAAATCTGCTTGCAACATTTTCACTTCAAAGGTTATTCATTACAAATTGCTGATAAAGTCATCCTACTCCCGCAAACTAAGCGGAATTCTAATAAACGATTGAAACAACAGACAACTTCAACAAATATCTAAAAAATTAGAGTTGAGTATCATGACAACATAAATATATAATTACTATACTTTGAAGAAATCTTTAATATTCTCAGTTTTGAAGAGGTCATTACTTGTAGCTTTCGTCACCTTCTATAAAAGTTCTCTTAACTTCTATGAGATATATTAAGACCGCAGCTGCTACAAGCGATTAAAAATGATAGCTAGATGTACCTGGAAGTGGAAAGAGCAAGAAGACAAACCTGAACAAATGACAAATGATGACCAAAAATATCTAAAAGCAACTCTGTCTCAACGAAGTTTGCAACATTCGAGTCGCTGTCGATTCCTCTAAAGAATGCAAAAAAGAGGAAATTAAACAAGTTGAAGCAATGAACATCATCGATGAATAATAATGAAATAACCAACCTTCGAAGATAGCGTACTCCAGCACGCTTTACAGATCGTCGTGATATAAGTGTGATCTCCAAAGATGCATGCACCTGAGGGTCATCTGTGATTATGAGAGTGTCTGAGTGTACACTCCCCTGTATTACCGGTACAATCCTTAATACAATGACATTACTCTTCAAACGAGGTTCACTAAATAATATGAACAATGACCATTTCTTAGCTAGATTCTTATCTGTAGTCTCCTCCAATAAGTCCTTCAATAGCAGTTTGTTCCAGTAAAATCGCTCATCTGGATCAGTGTTGTTAAACGAAAAATGTCTAAAATGATTTCACTGATACTTTGCATATTATAACAATGACCTCCAAACCACCAACTTTTGTGTGCAATGTGTTATGTCTCTTCCGAAACAAAAATAAAAATCGGGATTGTCGTTGAAAAGTCGTAAAACTTCCTCAAGTAAAACAAAAGGCTTCTGTACATTACCTAAACCACGGAATTAAATCAAGAGAATTTAACTCGGTAATCATGAACCCATCAGACCAATTCTATCCTGCACAAACTTAAACAGTTTCCCAGTGCCCTGCTTCAAGCGTC